GGCCTCGCCAGCGAAGAGGAGCTGCAGAGGCTGCGGTGAGGTGGGAGGTGAGCGCCGGGGGCCTGCTGCCTCCCCAGCCCGGCGGGGACACCAGATCCTACTAAACCAGCCTCATCTCCCTCCCCTTGGCCCCCCCGTGGATGCATGACCACGCTGAAACCTAGGAGTGGGTGCCTTGTCTTCCTTAAAGACCCACCCCCATTCTGTGGGAATGCCACAAAGTGGTTGGAAGGAGCTGTGTGTCCCCAGCTTTTATGGAAATGGAGTTCCCCCTCGCCCCCATCAGGAGGAGCCAAGGAGGGCTTGCTTGGTGACCCAAACACCAGTGACCCCTGAATGGAGGTGACCCCTTAATGGAGTGGCAGCGGAGAATGCCGCTTCCCTATGCTCCTTACAGCCTGGAGCGTCCTGTTCCCATCCCTGTCCCCACAGGCAGGGTATGCAGCTCCTCACACTGTGGCCGCTGCATTCCCCCGGCCAAACGCAATTACCCTGGGGTCTTCGGGGTCCTCAGGCAGGGGCTGAGCCAGCACATCAATGTCATCCCCGGAGCTGCCAACTGCCACGTAGCTGTAGGAGCCCCGGGTGTAGGGGGCGCTGTGCCACTGGGACCTGAGCACACTCTTGGGAGTGGGCAGGTGGGCGTTCCCTGTGGGCACAGATTTTGTGTGGGATCCAGAAACCTGGGTGCATGTTTCCCCGGGGGAGGGTTGGGGTGATGAGGGCGGAGGAAGTGGCCGGTACCTGTCAGTGTGCGGAGGACACGTGTCATGGTGCCAAGAACCTCCTCGTTGCTCAGCCTCTCCATGTACTCCGACTCCTTCCCCGCGATGAAGCCGCAGAGGACGTGCCCGTGCCTGCGGGGGAAAGACGAGGCTGACAGCTGCTTGCTGCGCGCCCGCTGCTCACCAGGAATCATTCCCTCCGTGCCCTGGGAGAGCTGCTGCGTTGTGGGCCACCAGCAAACCAGAGGAGGACTTGAAGCTCCAGACAGGACCAAGATGCTCCTTCACATTGCCCAGAAGATGCCCAGCCTCCCCAGCCCAGAAGATGCCCAGCCTCTTTGCTGACGCTCCCGGCCACGTACTGCTCCGGTGGTTGGAGGACCACGAATCCTATGAGTTTCTTGAACCAGTTGGCCTCCAGGTCAGCACTGGGCTCTTCGAGGGGCGACTCGTCCTCCCACACCATTTCCAGGAGCTCCTGCTGGGGTTCCCAGAAAGGCTGCTCGAACTCCAGGAAGATCTTGTTGTTGGTGCCAAAACCCAGGTGGCGAATGGCCTCTGCTTTCCGCTCGGGCAGGGGAGGCTGGAAGAAGTCCTGGTGATGTTCCTTGAGGAAACCTGCAGATGGAAGAAGATTGGGAAGCTCTGTTCGCTGGGCTCCTAAACAGGGTCTGACAAACGTTCCCTTACCCAAACCCCTTCTCAGCCTCATCTCTCCCACTGGGGTTCCCTGGTGGGAGAGGGGAGACTGGGAAGAGGTTCGGGTAGGTCCCTGCCCTCCAACTGGTGGGAGGTGACAGGCAGGGCAAGGAAAAGGTAGGGGTGTCCTCACCCAGAGGGACGGTGACAATGACGTGGTCAGCGAGGAAGACGTCTCCGTCCTCGCACTCTACCTTCACAGGAAAATCCCTGGCATTGTCCCCTTCCTCACGGAAAGACCCTTTCCATCGGATGGTCCTCACCGCTTTGTTGAACAGGATGATGCCCTCTGGCAGAGCTGAGACCATGTGATCCGGCAAGCTGCTGTAGCCGCTGCAGGAGGAGGCGACGCTGGGGACAGGCTGCCCCCTGAAATGCCCCCCCGTCCCCCTCTGTCACCCTGCGCTTACCTCGGGAAGGTGCAGTCCAGGCCAGGCAGGGAGATGTACTCCCCGAAGGGCTCCAGGGCCACCAGGTCCATGCTATGGGTCCCGCTAATGCAACACTCCAGCTTGAGGCAGGCAGCGAGGACAGCGCTGCCGGCTGTCCTCCTCGCCCCCCCCCAAAGCGGGGACTCTCCGGGCGATCTCTGCCCGCAGGTACTGTCCCACGCTGGGCACTGGTGGCTCCTTGGCCCCCTGGAAAGCACGGGTGGAGGCCAGGAGGGTGTTGAAGAGGTGATGGGCTTCGCTCACGGCCTGGGGGCTCAGTACCCTCCCTGAGCTTCCATAGGTGATGGAGGGCAGTGGGGGGTGGCCCCCC